ACATATCGGCCAAAGACATTCCAAATTTTTTGATGATTTGACTGGGTAAATGATGGGCAAGTCCCCAATCAGTCGGATCCTGCCATTTTGAAAAGAAGTCGGCGTCAACATTGAGGGAGCGAGGAACCCAAATAGGCTTGAGTTGCCTTGGGTGTCGAGAAGGATAGACACAATCCTTCTTAGGAGGTGGTTCATCTTGAAATCGGAAGTCTTCCAATTCTTAAGTAATGCAACAACCCCTGCATTGTCCCCAACAATTTTAACCGCACCATCCTTGGATGAAAGGTTGAAACGTTTGCGAATAAAAGATAGGGTGAACAAGACCCCAAATAACTCTCTGTGCGTACTGGAAGTAGAGAGCCAATTATCAGGAAGAGAAAAGCTCAATCTTTCTTCCTTTCCTTGATTGTGATAAACGATTGCTCCGATGGCATGGTCCAAAGCGTCAGTCTGAATGATGATTTCAATAGGTTTGATTTTCCAACTTTTTCCTGGAAGGAGGAAGATGTAAGTCAACCACCAATTGAGGTCGTCTCTTGCTTCCTCTGAGAGGGGATTTGGGTCGTCCCATGCATTTGGATAGATGGCCTGGTGAAGATTGAAGCAGAAGGTTACGGCAGGTTGGAAGGCATTGGCAACAACCAATTTTTTAGCAATAGAAAAGATCTCCCTGCTTGAAACCGCAGGTTTTGATAACAATAGTTGGATAGTCCTGCAAATTCTGAGGGTTTTTTCTTCCGGAATGACTGTTATCTTTAGGTGAGAATCCATCTTGAAACCTAGAAACTTTACACATTGAGAACTTAAAGTAAGAAAGAAGCATTTGTCTAGACTCAGAAAGAAACCCAATTTGTGAAGGAGGCAGGTAAAGATGAAGGATGACCAAAGACTGCAGAGGTAGGTTCATTGGACCAGGAGCGAATTGTCAATGTAGGAAAATATGCAGCTGGATCTCAATCTGAGATTTGTCATGAGTTCTTGCATTATAGTGGTGAAAATCCAACAGGCATCTTTTCATATACAAAGTTTGTAAAGACAAAGAAGACTCTAAATCATTGATCAAATCGATTTTATATTCTTTTGCTGGTCTAGCAAATAAGAGAGAAACTCCTTGATCAGTTTTAATGTATTTTAAATACAAYCATTCATTTGATAGATTTTTATCATCAATTTTCTCGCCTGGTGGTATTAAAATTTTATCTTTTTGCAATGCAATTTGTTTGTCCTTGATAAAATAGAGCAAGCCAGGTTGTATACTTATTTCATAATGATTCCTAGAGATTCCAAAGCAAAGAGTAGTGAAATCCATTCAAAAGTCATGTAATCCCTGGATTCTTTGTTGATCTTGATATGATAGTAACCATTCTTGACATCATAAGTAGTCATGAAGTCCGAGATAGGATTGGGAGAACAAGCAGCTGACACATCAGAGATTGACTCGTAGTGAAATTTGGAAAAAGAGATAAAGAGGTTGACAAATCTTAGATCCATAATAAATCTTTTCTTGAGAGAGCTTTCAATGACAAAGATCGGGTTAATGACAATTGGCGATGAAGTCTCGTGAACTACTCCTTGACTAAGCAGTGCTTCTAACGTAGTATCGGCGAAAATCCTATCCTCGACAGGTAGATCATAATTAGGAAAGCGGATTGGGGGTGTTTTTTTCTCTCCCATGGCATCCTTGAATTCCTGAGTAGTCATCAGATTCCTAACCATCCTTCCAACCTCCTCTATCTTAGAAGGCTTGTTGTGAAGCGTTTCTTCAAATTTCAGTCCGACTCCATTCATGATCCAATTGAGAACGTTTCTTGAATCCTTCCTGTTGGATCCTCCGAGCAAATCGTTCCATTCGCTCCACTTTTCTGTGAGTGAGGCTGCCTTGAATTCTTCTGGTTGGTTGAGTCATTCCTTTGCTCTTGATAATAAATTGAGGGAGCATGCAGCTTCGGTAAGAGAAGGGGAATGGTTCAATAAAGAAATCAAGTGCCTAATTGGTGGTAGTTGCTTAGCCATTATATGGTCTCCTTCCATCGTCCCTCCTGAAGTCGTAGAACTTGGAGCTTTGCTTGAAGTGTTGCCGATTCTTGTCCTTCCTTTGATGTTGGTCTGTTGATTGTCTGCGATAAAATAAATTTGTCATTAGATTAGTTGACTTACCTTGAAATAAGTGAAAACGAAGGTTTGAACCGGAAAAAGCCGGCGGACATAGATGATCGCCCTAAGAAACCCTTTCAAATTGATGAATGTTTACTATTGATGAGATAAAACTGATGATGGCATTAGCACCTTCCGGAAAAAGTCGGGGGACTTGATAGAATGCCCCTTAGGGTGTGCTGATAAATCTTTTTACCTTCTTGCAGCCTTGTAGTCTCTGTCGCTCCAAGCTCTGAGGATCTTTGGCAAGGCTTTTACTGATGTGAATAATTGTGTCTTGATTAACCAATCCGTGACCTTAGGAGGACACAATAAGTCACACAATCTCATCGCAATACGGTTAGTGTCGTTAGCGAAGGCCTTAGCCTCATCCTTTCCAGCCCTATATTGGGTGTAGGCCAGATGAACCATCTTGGCTCTAATATAATATGCCTGTTCCACGGTGGAGCTTGGTAAATCTGATGCAGTCAGTCCACTTCGATTGATGCAGCTTCACATTTGGGGGTAAGTTCTTGAATAATCTTAAGGAATATTGAGTTGATCCTTGCTTCGTCTGCTGTATTCAAATCTTCCATATCCATATCCTCACTATCCGAGTCTGACTGGTTATCCGAATGCTTTCTTCTGAGATAGTTGGGCTTTCTCTTTCTCTTGAGGGAAGTCCTCCGAACTGAGGTTTCAAGGTCACTTTCCGAAATTTGGTCATTGTCTGCGTTGATGACACGTTCCTTTCCCTTGTTGGTTTTCTCTGAAGGTAGATTGACCTTGATGATAATAATGGAAGTTGGGAAAGGAGGTTCTACATTGTCATTCCTCTTTACCTCGAAAAAGACATCTTCCCGGTTTGTTCCTGGTTCCGAGAGGTTCTTTAGAACCAAAGCAGGGTAGAAGTCATCAACACGGGTATTGCAGAAAACCTTGACTGTAGTACCCACTACAATGTCGACTCCTCTGGATTTTAAAAAGGCTTTTGTGAAGGTATCCATCTGAAAATTTTCAACAAGACAATGGTTAAGAGATTCCCCTTGTTTTCTTGAAATCTAAAACACCAAACAGTCTTATTGTCTTTGCTGGTAGTGGTATTCCACGACATCAGCAAGGACAATAAGATGGTTCGGTGATGACCCAAGGTCTAAATTATGCTTATTCAAACAAGACTCGACCCGAAGGTCTAATATGTAGTCGAGATTTTAACAGAAAAAACTGTCGAAGAGATCGGATCACCAAATCAACAGTCTGACAAACAAGGGAGGAAGAGCAAAGGAAAAAAGAAAGGGAAGGATGTCACACAAAGCGAGTTCGCAAAAATGAAGAAAACAGCCTAAGTAGCTCAGCTGGTTCTCAGGTCCAAAGCGGGTGGCATAATTTCGCCTGTTTTGATTTTTTCGGTCTTCCTTGAGGTTTCAATTTCAAGGTACGAATCGCGGAGGGTTAGACTTAATCAGAGTCTCCTATAATTGCTTTTCTTAGTGAACTCCTTGAAAAGGTTTCTAAATTTGAAATTATCAGCTGGATGCGAGTTGCTTTGCTTTGGCCTGTAGTCCCTTCACCTTTCGTTTCCTCTTCGTGATGAATTTCTTCTTTTTGCTTTAATTATTAATATATATATATATAAATATATATAAATAAATATTATCCTTTCCGAACCTTTAAACCAAAAGATAAACTTTTAAAATACCCTTTAATACATGTTGCATTCTTGTGCTGCAGTGTTCCCTTCCTTCACCATTCTCTCTTGGAAGGAGAGGAGAAGTGAGGGCTTGCCTGATCAGAACAAGATTCGTATACTGGTACCGGAGTTTTCCTCTTTTTTTTTTTTTTTTAAATGGCTAATCTACTGGACTGGTATGAATCTTTTTTTTTTTTTTTTTTTTTTTTTTGCATAATGGTGGTGCTCGAGGTATATTGATCTCTCTCTTTCTTTCCTCCTTCCTCCCTTGAATGAGCTCGGAATGTTGATAATGGTTTCGACGCAATCTGGGCATACAATTTTGAAGAATGCATGAAGTCCTTTATTAGCAGTTTAAACTAAGAAGGAGATCGGTTTTGCTGATAGAATCCTTTTAGGTATACAATCTTGAAGAGTAAATGCAATAACAATCTTTCGAAAAGTTGGATTGTGCTGGCAGGTTCTGCAAACAATTTCTCTATCTCTCT